CCCCAAAACCCCAAAACCCCAAAACCCCGTGTAGTAAGTTTGTTTATTGCATTTGAGATATTAATAAAATACAATGTAAAGCTCAAGATTAATTTATTTTGTATATGCGAGTAAATACATCATTCTAAGCCAAAGTTCTTTGGACCCATTGCTTCATATATACTAATGTAAGTAAAAGCCATTACTAACTCATTAATAAAGTATAGATGAATTCCTCTATAGAGTCCTGCGGGACCTTGAGATTACAAGAACTTTGAGGTTGCATCTCCAAAGCCTTTATATAAAATAAGTTACCCTCTGCCTCCATTGAGTTATAAACATCTTTTCATAGTATCCATTGGATAAAGTATCATTGATATAAGCAAGGAGCTTATCATTGAGGGTCCTAATCTTTGCAAAAAGTTAGAAGCTAGACTGTTAATTTCACCTTCCTTTGATTAGAATACTTTATTTCTCTTCAATAAATCATAAATTGGGAGTGTTAGAGCACCTCTAAGTATAGCTGAATAAATAGTGACATCAAGACCTTTGAAAAGCCCGCCTCTGCCTTCATCTAAATGCGTACGATTAAAGCAATCAAAGGTTGTTTTGAATAGTCTCTGCTAACCCTGCTTTGACATATCTGTAACTAAGCGAGTGTGAATCAAATCTAAAGGATAAGTAATAAAGGTTGTAATTGCGGTGCAAAGTGAGCCAGAGAGTGCTACTCTCCAGATATAATCGAATCCTGTGTATTTTTAAGTGCTAAAAGGCATCCAGAAATTCTTGAACTTATCATAGAAAAAGACTTTTAAGCTCATCTATAAGAAAACCTTGTAGACATTAGCCATATTTCCTCTCCAAAGTTAAGCAACTCCCTATTCAGAAGTTATCTCTATAATTTTAATTACTTCTAGTCTTAATGCTTACTTTATAAAATACTGATACTGGACCCTGTTGGTTTCTCGTTGACCTTTAGGTTTTGCATATGCAGAGTCTATTTAATGATTCTGCATCTTTCCAATGGCGCGCCAATAGATTTCATCAAAGCCAAAGATGTTCCATAGACAGTTAACTATGAGACAACACTCTTCTCCCTTGGTTTTATCAGTCCAAGACCTTTACGTTTTCTTTTGTCTTGTATTCTTTGCTGAGCCATTGATGAGATATTGAAAAACCCTTGCTGAGCGTACTTGTCCTCCCAAGAATTGCTGCTCTCAACAGCAGAAGGTGATTTAGTAGTTGTTGACATTAATCTTAAATTATAAAATTAAAGGTTGCTATATTATTATCAAATAAGAGTGAAATTAATGCTTTGCAAATAATAATAAAGTTATATTAATCAGCTCTTAAATAGCAACTATGAGTAGCAGTGAAGATTACGACGAAGAGGCCAACTCCTCTCAGCAAGAAGAAGATGAAGTCTAATTAGATAGTCAAGATGATGAAGAGCTTGATGAGGACTTAGATGATGAAGGTTTAGATGATGATGAAGAAGGCGAGGGTGAAGATGAAGATGAGGAAATGGACGATGATGAATCAGCTGAAGAGAGTGAAGAGAAGCCAAAAGCTAAGGCCTAAAAGAAACCAGCTCAAGTCTAGCAAAGCACAACCTAGGATGATTATGACGAAGATGAGTACAATGATGATGTTGCTGATGAAGAGGCAATCACCAACATTGAGGCAAAGAGAGACAAGATGATTAAAGATCTTTTGAGCAAGGAGGACTTAGGTATTATACAGATGAGACTCAAGGAGACTGTAAAAGTGCTTACTAACTTTAAAGACCTCAGAGACCCCAATAAAACCAGATAGGACTATCTTGAGGAGTTGAGAAATGATATCTGCGCAGCTTTCGACTATAACCCAGATCTAGTCGAGTTATTGCTAGATCTTTTCCCACCCAGTGAATGTATTGAGTTTATTGAGGCAAATGAGAATCAAAGGCCAATGACAATCAGAACTAACACACTTAAAACTAAGCGTAAGGATCTCGCAAAGACCCTTATTCAACGTGGAGTTAATCTTGATCCAGTAGCTGAATGGTCAAAAGTAGGTTTAAAGATATATGACTCACAAGTCCCCATTGGTGCTACCCCAGAGTATTTAGCAGGTCATTACATCCTACAATCAGCTTCTTCATTCTTACCAGTTATCGCTCTTGCTCCACAGCCAAATGAAAAGATTTTAGATATGGCAGCAGCTCCAGGAGGTAAAACAACCTATATTGCTCAACTCATGAAGAACACTGGTATCTTGATGGCCAACGATCTCAAGAAAGAAAGACTCAAGTCTTTGAATGCCAACTTGCATAGACTTGGAGTGTCAAACTGTGTTGTTATGAACTATGATGGAAGAAAGATTCCCTAGATTTTCAACAAGTTCGATAGAGTGCTACTTGATGCACCTTGCTCAGGTTTAGGAGTTATTGCTAGAGATCCATCTATCAAAGTTCAGAAGACAAGAGATGATGTGAAGAAGTTGAGTCATCTGTAAAAGGAACTAATTAAAGCTGCTATTGACAGTGTTGATGCTCACTCCAAGACTGGAGGTTACATTGTGTAAGCTATCATATCTTTCATTATCTCATTACTTATGTGTATGTTTATAGGTACTCAACATGTTCAATCTCAGTTGAAGAGAACGAATGGGTAGTTGATTACGCTCTCAAAACAAGATACGTCAAGTTGGTTGAATCAGGAGTCGAAGTAGGTGAGCCAGGCTTTACTAAGCACAAGGAAAAGAGATTCCATCCATCCCTTAACCTAACAAGAAGAATCTACCCTCACACCCACAACATGGACGGTTTCTTCGTAGCTAAACTCAAGAAATTCGCTAATGGAGAGAAAAATGCAGAGGAGAATGTAGTCAACCCGGAGGAATTGGAGAGAAAGATAAAGCAATAAGAAGAGTAGAAAAAGAAGAAGCTGAATCAAAAGAAAAAGAAGCAGAGAAAGGAAAAGAAGAACAAGAACAAGCAGGGAGACGACAAAAAAGAGAAAAAAGAAGGAGAGGACAATAAATCTACTGATAAAACAGAGAAATCTGAGTCAAATGGAGAAAAGAAAGAAAAGAAAAACAAGAAAGATAAAAAAGATAAGAAAGACAAGAAAAAGGACAAGAAGAGACCAGCTGAACAGACAACCGAATCTCTCGAAAAGTCAGTCAAGTAAACTGACGCCAAGACTAATGACAAGAAATAGGGGGATGAAAAGACCTAGAAAAATAAAGATCAAAAGTCTGATAAAAAGGAAAGCCAGTCATAGCCAAATAAATCAGCTGATAAAAAGGAACAACAGAAGTAACCAGAATAGAAACAATAGGCAGCTGTTGTGAAACAAGACAAAAATCAGAAGTAATAATAATAAGCTCCCAAGCAAGAATAAAAACAACAACAACCTTAGAAGCAGGAATAAAAGCCATAGAAGCAATAAGAATAGCCTAAAGCTAAAGTAGAATAGTAGCCAGTTAAGAAAGCTGAAGTTAAGGCTTAGGAAAAGTAATAATAAAAAGACAAAATGCACAAAAAGCAACACAAATGAGCATCAGCAATCTGATAGTGAATTATAGTCTATTGATAGTCACCTAGATGCATGGCAGTATTAAGTAATGGATAAACAGATCTAGAATGACTATCAAATCTAATTAACTTAACTTATTTTTAATTCTTAATCATTAAAGATATATAAATGTAAGTAATGAGTTATTTTTAAGGAGTGGTTTAAAGATTTAAAAGTAATTAAGTCATGATGATATTCTACTAATCTACATCAAGTTAGCTATAACTTTTGCAAGCATTGCCTCCTAACTATTGCGACACTTTATATTTATATATTCACCATCATTTAACAATAAAGACAGATAGACACAATCAGTTTCAGCAACCTATTACTTTTACTGATTCTCTTATCATCCCTCTTTAACTCAGCCTCAATCATTATCATCCTCGTTTTCCTCCTAGATGTCATCTTTATTGATATTATGATTGCTATTGTTCTGCTGCGACCCATTCATCTAGCCCATTTCCTCTACTATAGCTTGAAAATCCCCGAATGTCACGCCTTTTCTTTCCTTATCTTTGGTTGCATATTCAATCATAGCCTCAGCCTCTTCATTAGATAGCTTGATATGAGCTACCTTGCGCATGAAGTACTTCAGTTCTTTAACTGAGATGACTTCGTCTTTTTCCTTATCCAAGACATCAAAGGCCTCCTTAATCTCATCCTATTTAGAAATCTCCTTGACCTTGTTAGTCATAAGAATGACGAACTCTGCGAATTCAACTGTGCCGTTTCCATCAACATCGACTTCATTAATCATATCAGTTAGCTCGTTCTTTGTTGGATTCTGACCTAAGGCCTTCAAAACCTCTCCTAACTCTACAGCTGAGATACTTCCGTTCTCATCATGATCGAATAGCGAAAAAGCCTCTTTAAAGTCAGCTATTTACTCAGGTGTCAGTTTTTCATCCATTTCTCGATTTATTAAATTCAATTATTGCCAATAATAAAATTATCTTTTTAACTTTTAGTATCAGACTTATGGGGTTTTGGGGTTTTGGGGTTTTGGGG